ACCGGAGAAATTAGTCAAAATTAAGGTCTACTTCTACTTCAGGACACACATTAAGGAATACTTGGAAGTCTCAAACGTGTTTGTTATGGACCATGGTCGTGTTTTTAGAGTTTAAGATTAGAATATAACAGGCACATGGTCCCATCATTCTCCCCGTGTAACTTGAGAAACAGGCTTGTTTTCTCTATTGTCTTTGTTATTACTTGTACTTCGAAGTCTAACTAACCAGGTTTAGTATTTGTAGGATGAGCATGCAGCTGGAAATCAGCAGACGGTTTAGAGCCCGAGTCGGTGATGTCACGAGTTTCCTTTACAACTAACTACTCAAGTGCGGCTGGTTAACGTAGAGGGATGTGGTACAACTTCCCATTATATCTATCCTCAGCTATCAAGAGAAGCCTTGTTCGATCTCTTTTTTGAAGTGGTGACCCACCGGGAATATAAGTTCTTCAAACCGAACTAATCTCATTCTTTTTTTGTTACTGCAACGCACCAACCAATGAGTAGTCTCTAGTCTAGTAGTGGTTCGGATTTTGACTGGGTCCGAGCTTCCCAAGCTCTATGTTGGGAAACTCTGCTTCAGTTTGACCATCTTCTTGATCACACCAACCTTCTCGTTTAGATCTACGCTTGATTAGCCGTCTCCATGAGATTCTTATGTAGGAAACATCATGTTAGGTCTTTTGATAGTCCTCTCTTAGCTAGGCGGTGGGGAGGTTATAGGGTCCTTGTCATACTCAATCATACAGGACTTTGTTAGTTTGAGCGGGTTCTTGCTATGTACACCAAGCCTCGGGTTCTTGTTATGTACACCAAGCCTCGGAGTCTGAAAGGTATTCCAACTCTTATGGTTACAGATAAGGATGAATAAATAGAACCATTCTTTCTTTGCGAGAGGTTCCTAGATCAAATGCCTCTCCAAACCCCAAGCGGGAGCTACAAAGGCATAAATATTCAAAATTTTTCCATCGAAGAAAATTCTTGTACCGTCCAGGAATAGAAATGGCATTGGCTTTGACGTCTCAATATGGACAAAAGTTAAATAAAATGAATTATGACTTTTCAGTTGATCGTGAGCTTGTATAAAAATGGTGAACAGACCATGAAGATCAATGGTGTACAAGTTTGGTTTAATTCTCTTCGTTCGGGGATAAATACAAACCAGCACAATCTTCGAGGCTAAGTCAATTTCAATTGAAAGTTTAGTTTTATGATATTTTTGTTTTCAATTCAACAAAATCTAAATGCATGGTAAAAAGTTATAAGTTAACTGTCATGTTGATAGAAACTCTTAAATTTATGAAAATTTAAATAATATTATTTATTAATCGTAGATGTGATAAATAAGAAAGATCATGAATATTAATAGATTTTACCAAGTTAGCAAGATATGATCCGCATCACTTAGAACTATATCTCAAATTTTAAAGACTAAATTCTCTCTTTTGCAACTTAAGTAATCAAATAGATTGATTTAAAGAACAAAAATGTATTTCGACTATTATAATATGTTTAAGTATCAAAATTTTTATTTTAAGAAACATTATTAAAATTGTATTTAAAAGGTAAAATGGATTTGTACAACTATTGTATTTAATAATTTTCTCTATTAAAATAATTCTCATTCGATGAGTTTATGATGAGTTATCAAGTATGCGATTGGAAGGTTAGAAATGTGTGATGTATCAAAGTATACAAGTGTAATAAAACTTCATTGTAAATTAGTTGTCCTCGGTTACTCTCTTCAAATACTAATGTGGTTGATTTAGTAAACGCTTATAGTCGAGTGCAATGAAGATTGAACGGTTTTATGTATTCTTGGTTTTCCAATTGTTGGGTTATAAATTTCGGACATCATAATATGGCATTATGAAAATAATGATTATTTTGTATGTTAAAAGCGGATACAAACTTTCCCAACTATTTGAAATAGTCGATTGCAAATGGATACCATCTATACTCATTTCTTTAAAGTTAATACAAACGTTGCTATGTTCTCAAATCTTAAGATCGTGGAAGTAAAGATTATTGTTAGAAATCTTACGAAGAGGAAGTACCTCTTCCCAGAGGCTCCCTTTTGTTTTTTTTAATCGGATTTAGAAAAAGTGCTACTAGAGGAAGAGTTTGATTAGCCACTGAAATGAATCTTAGTCGGCTCGAGCTTGAGGTTGATTCCCTTCGTGTTTTGAAGTTGCTTCTGGTGTTTTCAAGTTGAGTTGGTTCATCTTGTAGAGACTCTCATTTTGTGATTACTCATTTATATAACATGTTGGATTAAGTTAGGTATGTTATATTTTTTTTGTAAATCAAATAGTTCGATTTGGTTCACTGGTTCAACCAAAAGAAATTTTGTTAAACTTGAACTGAACCGAACCAAACCGAAACTATATATATAAATATATGGGAATTCTTTTTTTGACAAAAAATATATGGGATTTTTTTAAGGGTTTTCAAGCCTCTTCCACATCTCCTCCCACGATTTCATCTCCAATTTTCATCACTCCCACCTCTCTCATCTCCGATCTCACCGTCGCCTCTCACGTCTACCATCTCCGATCCCACCATTCATCACTCTCTCGTGTCTATCTCATCCTTCACTTTCTCTTACCTTTCGCAGTTTCTGTCGATCTCTATCTCTCAATCTCAATCCATCTCTCACCGTTCGTCGCCACCGTTTGTCGCCCGTCGCCGCAGGCAGTCGCCCGCCCTTGCCGTCTGTCGCCCGAACTTCTTATTTTCTTTCCCTGTCTACTTACGATTCATCTAGGCATTTGTTCATACTCACATGATGGACTAGAAATCAATCTGTTATGTCTTAATGCATTGTTTCTTTACTGATGCTGGGTTTTTCTCCAGATCCGTGACGAAGCTAGTCGCCGAAGCGGAAAATGCAGAACGAAGAGGGATAGACGACTGACCTTTAATCTGCACAAAACACCGGTTATTTTCTTCTACCATTTGCATTTTAAAAGTTATTATTAATTTTCTACTCCTATTTATTGATTGGTTGATGTAGATTAAAAATTACTTGGAAACTACTCAGACTGATGTGACTTATTTAGTTCTAAAATTTTTGTTATGATTTGAAAAAATGTTTATGGAAGTGTGGATTAGTAAACAATGGAACATGTAACATATAATTTTAAAAAAATAAATAAACCAGACACAAGAACGTTTCAAATAATCCCACCTCCCTTAGAAATGGATGGTAATCTAGCTAGTTTTATGGAATTAGTTCTGAGATGCGTTCCATTGGTTAAAAAGGTGTTCTGGATGGTGCTGGTTTCAAGTGGAGGGTCAACTATTTTAGATTAATTTTGTGTTAGAGTTAAGTATTACTATCCTCTTAATTAACCTGCTAATAATAATAACAACTCACATGGCCTGTTGTTGTACTTGCATCCTTTCTATTCTTTTAAATGTTAAATATCTTTTTTCCATATGGATCAAAGAAATTGCTAGGCTATTTGTGGAAGGTAGGGGCCGGGTAATGGGAATAAATTGAACACATGCTCATTTTATGCTTGGGCCGCTTAATTTATTTATTTTTATTTTTTTTTTCCTATCTTCATCTTATTTTTCTTAGTCGTCTTAATTTTTATTTGGTTAGCTCGTTTGATTAATAGCCATAATTAGGATTAGTTAGATTTTGGTTAAATATTTTAGGTCCCATTTTATAACCAATTTTTAGTTTTTAGTTTTTTGAAAATTGTGAGCAAAGCAAGCCTAAGTATTTTAAAAAACAAATAACAGAATACGGAATGATTATTAAATGAGACCTAGTTAGAAAGATTCGTTAGTTTAGATTAGATTTTTAGTTTAATTCCTTTAGAAATTATGTTGATCCTTGTTTTTTCCAAACCCTTCTAAAATTATAAATTATAAATTGCTCCCCTTTCTTTTAATCAAGTGTTGAATGCAGGGTTTTGACCAGCTAAAGCTTTCTTTCTCTTCCTCCTTCCTTCTCCTCCCTTATATTTCCAGCCGCCTACCTCCTTTTTATGCGGCGGAAAAATTTAGTAGCCCATTAGAACTAACAGAATGGACTAAAAGAATAGCAAATGCAGCAGCTCAAAAATTAATTGCAAAAGTAGTAAGATAATTACACTTGGCCCAAACCTAATAGGTAAAAGGACCAACAATGCCCAATTGATAATTAATTGTGGAGATCTACTCAAGAAGAGAGCTTTCTGTGGAGGAGGGTAATTGCAAGCATATATGGCTTGGAACCGAACGGGTGGATGACCAAAAATCCTAAAGGAAAAGCGAGAGGGAGACCATGGTTTAATATTGCAAAAAATAGTGCTTTTTTTCCCCTTAAGTTCCTTCTCTTTAGAGCCAATCAAGGGAGAAGGACAAAGGTCTAAGTTCTAGAAAGTTAGGTGGACAGGTGAAAACTCTCTGGCTAACTACTTCCCAAATATTTTCTTGCTTTCTTGTAACAAGGATTAACGATTGCAGAGTGCTGGAATGAGGAACAAAATGATTGGAATTTAGGGCTGAGAAGAGGTTTGCTTGGTAGGGAGGTTGACAGTTTGGTTGGTCTAGTCGCTAGACTTGATGCGATGAAGGTTGGGGAAGATTTAGACAAGGTGGTTTGGTCCTTAGAGCCCTCGGGTCTTTTATCGACGAAGTCCACCTTGCAGAAGCTCTTTGATGTTACTCTTAGTGTGAAAGTTCCCCTTATCATTGAGCAGACTGCGTCACTCACCGCACAATATTTTACCAAGAAGATATGCTTACCACATAAAAATGGAAATGTGTATTTGCTGCAGGAGGTTGCATTCGGAGTTCCCATTGGATTATATCGTGCCACCTATTGGTCGAGGATTTGGCTCTCTTTTCCTCGGTGACGAGTATATTCTGACTCATGATCTTTTTAAAGGCTGGTGGCAAAAGTTTAAAGTTTCCCTTTCCTTTTTTGCCTACTTCGTCTGGGTATTTCTAAACTTGATGACGCCAAGGGAGTGGGGTCGATAGTAGAGTATATTGATGACGCCAAGGGAGTGGGGTCGATAGTAGAGTATATTGTGTCCTTACCTTGCAGAATTACTACGTTGGAAGATCGAGCCGGGCAACTACGACGTCTTAGACATTGGAGGAAGGTTCTTGTTCACACTCATACTACTTATATTTCTTGTCAAAGTCTTACTTCATGTCGATCGGTTCTTTTACTTTTAATTTTTTGACTAGTAATTAAAATCCTTGAGGACAACTCTTATTCTTTCATATTTGAATCTTTTGGTCCGTGTCTTCATACGTTCAGGCAATTTTCATCTTTTGAGTAAATTGACAACTGAAGTTTTTTCATATTTTACATGTGGGTTATTTTGTTGAAAAAATATCAGCTACAATGCAGGATGATATTTACTCAATGTTTTAGTCATTTGTGAATGCACTAATGACAATAATGGTAATTTAAGGTCTCAAAATAATTAATCTCTTGGTAAGTTTTGTGGCACTTATTTCCTTGGCCCCTGGCCCCCTTGTCATTGTTTGGTTGTCCTGTTGAGTTTTTGAAGCTATAATATATATCGTAAGGCTACTACAAGAAAAACCTTTCGACGGGTTGGGGGTCCAAACTCTCACATCCTCCCTCCCAGAGAATAAAGACACCTCGGCCACTAGAGAAAGCAAAGCAGAAACCTTTACGGTTTCCCGATCCGTTAAGGCATGAGTAAAGCCCAAAGAAATTGAAGGAGCCTCTCCCCGGGGATTCAAAACCTCGGCCACCAAATGGGGCCTTTTTTCAGAAAGATGGTATAGTCGAGGGAACGCGAGACAAAGAGGTTTCTTGTAGTTCTTATTACTTTGTCTTGAGTTCCCCTTCCTCTTCTACTGTCCCTTCGACCCCTTGGTTCTCCCCTCTTTGGAAGATTATAGTTCCTAAGAAGATCAAGTTCTTTGGGTGGCAAATCCTTCTTGGGAAAGTCAATTTCTTAGATCGTATCCAGAGGATGTCGGCCTTTTGTTTGGGTCCGTTGTGGTGCGTTCTTTGCAAGAGTGCCTCGGAAGACCTAGATCATCTGTTGTGGAATTGTCAGTTTGCTCAGGATTTGTGGTATTGTTTCTTTATGTGTTTTGGGATATCCTGGGTCCAGGCTAGGGATCGTAGGGCCATGATGGAGGAGGTGTTTTTATACCCCCTTTTCGTGATAGGGGTTGCTTTTTATGGCAGGCTGGCTTTCTAGCTATGTTATGAGGTATTTTGCTGGAGAGGAATCATAGATTGTTTAGGGGTGGAGAAATCTGTGGATTATGTTTGGGATATCGTTGGATTTAACACTTCTTTATGAGGCTCGGTTTCTAAGTCCTTTTGTAATTATTCGCTAGGTCTTATTCTTTTGGATTGGAGTCCTTTTCTGTAGGGGATCTCCTCTTTCAGGGCTGTTTTTTGGATGCCCTTTTGTAGGCTTTTTTGTAGCTCTTGTATCTCTTTCATTTTTCTCTCTTTCATTTTTCTCAATGAAAGTATTGTTTCTCATCCAAATATATATATATATATATATAGATATATATATCGTAAGGCTGAATAATTTTGGTTAATTGATGTACTCATTATGAGCCATTTATTCTTATGGGCGTATGACCCATTCCATCTACTTCAACAGTTGGACACTGTCTGCTTCAAAGTACACTTTGTTTTTTGATAAGGAAACCTTTCATTCAAAAGAAAAGAAGAAACAATACAGCCAAATGGCAGGGGATGGGGAAACCCCCTCCCAAACCCACTCAACAAAAGCTCTCAAATCACGAATAATTGTAGAGAGAATGTGGTTACAAAAGAAATTTGTGTGTCTATTGTACCTCCTCGAGGAGGTGAGCTGTACACATTTCAAAAAGAGGCAAAAGAAGACCATTCGTCAACTATGATTTCTTTCCAGCCAAATATTCCAAAGGAGAGCTCTAACTATACAAGACCAAGAACCATCCCTCTCTCCATAGGGAGGGGCACACAATCAGACTAGCTAAAGATATTGAATAAAAATAACCAGCCCCTGGTAGCAAAATGGTAGTGGATGAAAACATGATCTAATGTTTCTTCCAATTCGAACAAAGATATTGAACAAAAATAACCTGCCCCTAGCAAGCAAACCGACAATGACAATGTCCAATTTGAACACTTTTTTTTTGCAATCTCTCACGAGTATTCAAAGATCGGTAGACTAGAGACCAAAGAAATACTTTCACCTTCTTAGGAAAGTCTCCCTTCCAAATAAGATTAAGAAGGGAAACCTTCACTCTAGGAGTAACATTAAAGAGCTTCTGCAAGGTGGACTTCGTTGAGAAAGACTTGGAGGGCTCTAAGGACCAAACTACCTTGTCTAAATCTTCTCCAACCTTCGTCACATCAAGTGTAGCCACCAGAACTAACCAAACTGTCAAGCTCCCTATCAAGCAAACCTCTTCTCATGCCTAAATTCAAATCATTTTGTTCGTCATTCCAGCACTATCAGGCCTAAATTCATTTCATTTTGTTCCTCATTCTAGCACTATCAAGCAAACCACTTCTCAGGCCTAAATTCCAAATCATTTTGTTCCTCATTCCAGCACTATCAAGCAAACCTCTTCTCAGCCCTGAATTCCAATCATTTCGTTCCTCATTCCAGCACTCTGCAATCGTTATATCCTTGTTACAAGAAAGCAAGAAAATATCTTGGAAGTCATTAGCTAGAGAGTTTTCACCAGTCCACCTAACTTTCCAGAACTTTGTCCTTTCTCCCTTGATTGGCTCCAAAGAGAAGGAACTTAAGGAAACAAGCACTATTTTTTGCAATATCAAACCATGGTTTCCCTTTCGCTTTTCCTTTAGGATTTTTGGTCATCCACTCGTTCGGTTCGAATTCCAACCCATATATGCTTGCAATTACCCTCCTCCACAGAGTGCTCTCTTCTTGAGTAAATCTCCACAATCACTCGATAAGTGAGGCATCGTTCCTTTGCTGGAAGGCCCTATCCCCCAACCCCCAATTTTAAGGGGAGATAAATGCAGCCCCAATTTACCAGATTTCTGCAAGGATGAGGTCTACCACCATCCGTCCATTTCATCAGTGATGACCGGGGCTTTGAGGAGAGAAAAGTAGTATAAGGGGAGACTATTGAGAATCGATTGAGCCAACTTTAGTAAATTTTTAAGTGCACTCTTTAAAGTTTGTAAGTAACCAATGAAAAACATTTTGAAATTTAAGGAACTTGTAGTAAATATTAAATGATGATTTATGTTCATCATCTATTACAGGTTCGAGATCACCTTGGGATTTCCACACATGGACGCCAAAGAGGCTGCTTTTGCTGGAAACCCACGGCGTCCTTCTGGCTGTTGCAATCCTGTCAAACAGCTTGGACCTATCTCCTTAGAACATGTGCTCCTGGCATTGCGTGAATCCAAGGAAGAGAGGGATCTTCGAACCCGTAGTCTTTTTAATTTCTTTGATGCTGCCAACCTTGGATATCTTGACTATGCTCAGATTGAAGCTGGATTGTTGGCTCTACAGATACCTGCTGAGTACAAGTATGCAAAGGATCTCTTGAAGGTCTGTGATGCCAATAGAGATGGCAGGGTAGACTACCATGAGTTTCGCCGCTACATGGATGATAAGGAACTGGAGCTCTACCGCATGTTTCAAGCGATTGATGTTGAGCACAATGGTTGTATTCTTCCAGAAGAGCTATGGGATGCTCTTGTTCAGGCTGGTATACTATAGCCTTCTCTGTCTCATATTATGTTTCAACCAGTCCTTTTTATTTGATCATATTTGATATTCTGTGTCATTTCGTCGTATTTTACATATCTATAACTCTATAATACAGTTTAATATAGTTTGTAAGGTCCTTTTTTACAAAGTAAAATTAGTTTGCATATTTTTTTTAACTTTCCTTAAAAATTAGTAATACCTTCCTCAAACATGTTAAAATTTTGAGTTTTTTTAAAAAAAAACAAAAAAAACTTTTCTTAGTTAGTTATTTAGACAAAAAAATGAAATTCAGAAAATGGTTTAGTTTAGTGTTACGTTTTTATATATCATTTTTTTTGTAATAATTGTTTAAACTTTTTATTTATTGATATATTTTATAATTCCTATGGTGTCAAAAAATATTTAAAAGCTAATGAGTTTGTAGATGTTCGGTATAATTCATGCTTTTTTATTTTAATGTTCTATCTGGTATAAAAGTAATGAAGAATAATTTTCTGAAATCTATTTTATTTATGTTACTTGAAATAAAATATTTGTTTAAATAGAATTAGTAGTGTAATTAGTTTTTTAATATGCAAATACTTAACACAATTAATTGAAATTTTATAAAAGTTTGCTAAATGACTAATTTAATTAATATTAGTGATATATTATTTCAATTAAATGAAAAGTATAAATGTTTAATTAAAAGGATATGTTTGATGTTTCTAATTAGAGAATGTACATGTCAACATTCCCATTTTAGTTATCAAAATTATTGAATCACATTTTGGCATATTAGATATTTTAAAATAAAAATATGTTAAGATTTGTTGTGTGTGTATAGATGTTATATCATAGAAAACATGTTAAATTTTAAATGTAATTTCTATATATGTTCGTATTAGTCATTATGTCAATTTTTTATGGAAAACTAATTAGTATAGTTGATAATATGAATCAAATAAAAAAGCATTAAATTGATGGCATCTTTGAAATTATTAATTGAATGGCGAGGACGAAAATGGTAAAAGAAAATCTTTCCCCAATATCCTAGACAGATATAAATGTGATCTTTGAGATAGATTATTTGACATAGTGATTTTTCCTTGAAGGATAGACCTGCTGTGAATGGCTAAATTGTAGATAAGTGAGAAGGATCACAAGATTTGTATATATTGCATAACATTCTTTGAAATTTGTCAATGTGTCTGTTTAAATCTTCACTTCTTGAATTCCTTATACATATTGTTAGTTTTTGGTATTGACTGGTTGATTGATTGATTCTTAATGTTCACCCACGCTTATGGTTTTGGAATTTACTCTGATAAGTGAGACACTACATGAACTATTTTATTTTAAATGATGAGAGGTAATGGTGCATGAATTCAGCTGTATCTCCATTAATGCCATGTTTGATTATTTCCAATCTTTACATTCTTAAACTATTTAGAATTAATTTTCATTATTTAATTCACACCATTTAAATTTATTTTGCTTCGTCTGATTAGTATTATCTTTTGTTCGGTGGTCACATCTTTTGTCATCTTATGTGCCTGGCAGTTTTAATTTTTTAGGTATAGAAATTGACGATGAGGAACTTGCCCGCTTCGTGGAGCATGTTGATAAGGATAATAATGGAATCATAACTTTTGAAGAATGGAGGGACTTTCTTCTATTTTATCCGCATGAAGCCACCATCGAAAACATATATCATCACTGGGAAAGGGTATGCCTTGTAGATATTGGAGAACAGGCTGTAATTCCAGAAGGGATCAGTAAGTATGCCCACCCCTTCAGGTACTTTATTGCTGGAGGTATAGCAGGAGCTGCTTCTCGTACTGCAACAGCTCCTCTAGATCGACTTAAAGTGGTTTTGCAAGTACAAACAACCCGAGCATGGATTATGCCAGCTATAAAGAAGATGTGGAAGGAAGGTGGTCTCTTGGGGTTTTTTCGAGGTAATGGGCTAAATGTTGTGAAGGTTGCACCTGAAAGTGCCATCAAATTTTATACTTATGAGATGTTAAAGAATATGATTGCAAACGGTAGAGAAGAAGACAAGCGTGATATTGGAACTGCCGGGAGACTTTGTGCTGGTGGTGTTGCTGGTGCAGTCGCACAAACTGCAATCTATCCCTTAGATCTCCTGAAAACTCGGCTACAGACTTTTTCTTGTGAAGGTGGAAAGGTTCCCAAGTTAGGAAAACTTACAAAGGACATCTGGGTTCATGAGGGACCTCGGGTCTTCTATAAAGGTCTTGTCCCTTCCCTTCTTGGCATTATCCCTTATGCTGGCATTGACCTTACTGCCTATGAGACCTTGAAAGATGTATCTAAAACTTATATTCTTCACGACGGAGGTGCATGTTTTATTCATTTTTGTTTTATTTTAATATTCCTCATTCTTAAATACAGTTCTCTTATTGTTCGAGTTTTTGCTTACGTGTTCTTTAAATTTGCTTATTGTATTCTCCTTCCCATCCCAAAAATTATCAGATCCTGGACCTCTCGTTCAACTGGCCTGTGGCACAGTCTCCGGAGCTCTTGGGGCCACGTGTGTTTATCCATTGCAAGTTATCCGAACGAGGTATGGATGCATGGGAGGGCTGGTCTGTATTTTATTTTATCCATTTCTTTGTCTAGTGAGAAATGAAGGGAAGTAATATTGTGGTTCTGGTTTTCATTGAGACTGAGGTAAATCTTGACGTTGTTTTCAGAATGCAAGCCCAAAGTTCAAATAAAGGTGCTGCTCACCAGGGGATGTCTGATGTATTTTGGCAGACACTGAAGCACGAAGGCTATTGTGGTTTCTACAAAGGACTTCTACCCAATTTACTTAAAGTTGTGCCGGCTGCAAGCATTACATACCTAGTTTATGAACGGATGAAAAAATGGCTGGATCTTGATTAGGCATTATTGTGTCATACTTGATTGATGGTAGGAGCATTGATGATGAAGATAATAGTAGAGAATCCCCCCCCTAAAAAAAAAAAAGAAAGAAAAAAAAAGAGAGAAGAAATCACACTTGGCAGATACCAGTTCGCATCTTGAGAACTCGAGGTACATTTTTTCGTCCAGAATTTTTTGCAACACAATGAGTAATAATGGGAAGGCTATATGATTGGTGAAGCTTGTAAGCGACTATTCGTGATATATATGCCTATGACCTTTGTCAGTATTTGCGTTTAGAACACCATGAAACTTCCGATAACATCGACCGCTTATTAAATGCAAGCAGTTGTAGTTTTGGGACTTGGCAGAAGGCTACACTTTTGTGAAGTAGTAGGAGCTCGCCTAGGGAGCTTTGCATTTCCTTGGTAATAACAAGCAGAATGCCCCCATCGCATATAGCCACATTGCCTTCTTACAAGTTTCTCCTGTTTTTGTTTCTCTAAGATAACGAGTATTTACTTCAACACAGTGCTCGACAAGGAATGAAATAGAAGAGGAGAAGAGAGGACCTCATGAACAAGCCAAATGATTTATCAACTATCAGTGTCAAATAAAAATGAGAAAAGTGAAAAAAAAATAAAAATTAATTGATTAATTAATTCTGTCCCCATCTTGAAGTTTTACGTATTTCCACATCTCTCTGTCTAGCACCTTTCAATTTTCTTCTTCCAAATAAATTCTCCAAATGGAGTTAACATTGAGATGTGGGCTTGTGCTTTCAGCCACATTAATTGGATTGTCGTTATTCTTATTACCTAAAAAAAAATGGTAGAAAGTATTTTAATTAACAAATAAATATTTTTTTATTTTTAAATAGATTAAAAATTATTAATATTAATATTATGTATATATTTTATTGTTATTTTTCATATTTTGTCGATCACGTCCGAAAACATGGGTACTACTATTAAGCCTAATTTAAAGTTTAGTTCTCAGATGAGTCATTTCTGAACAGTGAACCCTGTCTCCGTCTCTAAAGTCTCAAGAGTCGCAGTAGTCGCCGTCGCTAACCATTTTGGGCGACTCCATACTGTGTCTGGTACTGCCAATCTTCTCCTTACATCACTCATATTCGTTCTTTTCTTACACGCCCGCCGCTGTAGCAATCTCCAGTTCTTCTTCTTTCCTCCACCATGCGCTCCCTCTTCCTCACCATTCCCACCATTTACAGTATTAAATTATCGCCTCAGCCTCAATCCCCTCTCCGCCGCTTCACTCTTTTACAACCTCCACCATGCGTCTCTCCTTTCCATTTCCCATTCCGTTCCCGCTTTCAGTTCTTTCATCCACCATGCGCTTCCCATTTCATTCACCCTGCCTCCAATTCAGAAGCTGAAGATCATCTACCCCATTATTTGGCGGAAGCCCGAGCTGCCTTTTCCCAGTTTCTTCGACGTTTCGGGGTCTCCGAGGAGGAATCCGTGTCCATCGCCTCCAGCTCCCCTCGATACTTGAAGATGCTAGTCGATGGGGTTCGTGAATTGGACGACACATCCATGTGGGGTTACTGGAGTAATGAAGGATTGGGTGATGATTTTGGGTTCAAGGAAAAGGTGGTTTTGATGGCCACACAAAAGGGTGACTGTGGGAAGGTTGCTTTTTTGGAGAGCGTGGGTATGAATCTTTCTTCAGCTATGAATATTGCCCGCTACCTCTCTGGGGAGATGCTTCCATCTCTCATTTATAAGGTATATATCTGTTTACAGTGTAGAATTTGAAGATTGATCAGCTCGCCGACTTTGGTTTTTTTTTTTTTTTCATTTTATCTTTAGGTTAAGTATTTGAAGGAAGTCTTCTTTTCTGGCAGCGGTGAGGGGAAGCTCATAGGAAAAAGTGCTCGTCGTATGATGACGCACTTATCGGTGCCTCTTGATGACGATGTGCAACAGACTTTATCCTTTTTTGAGAAGGTTTTTTTTTAACGGTCTCTCCATACATACAATACATAGTATCTGTTTTATAAATACAAAATTTTGTTTCCTACGAAAGGGAAAAAAAGGGGATAACAATGTAGTCTTCAATTTCAAAGTTTTAACTGCTTCTCTCTCTCTCTCTCTCTTGTTCAACAATTGTGGAGTGGGGTATCAAACCATTGATCTTAGGGATGATAATAGGTGTGTGATTGACTATTGACTTGACTGTTTTTCTCTTGCTTCAGTTAGATTCATTATTGGATTTTCATATTGTAAGGCTTCTTTATGAATATTATCACAGATTGAAGCAAGGCGTGGAGGCCTAGACATGTTGAGTTCGAATGAAGAATTCTTTTGTCTTTTACTGGAATCATTTCCCTACTTGCTTTTGTTGTCAGTAGAATCCCACGTGAAACCAATGGTAGAATTTTTTGAATACATTGGCGTCCCTAAGGAATGCATGAGGAGGATATTTCTGTTATTTCCGCCCATCATTTTCTTCAATACTGAAGTCCTCAAATCAAGGATAACGGCTTTTGAGGAGGTACTACTAGTTACACCTTCTTACACACACATAGATACATTTCTGTTTTTGTACTTTGCAAAGTGACATGGCAATCTGAGTATCCCTTGGAGTCTTAGTTTTTCTTGTGAGAGCTAGCTTGCCCATGAGAGTATTAATACTCATGAAAAGTTCATAGTTCGCTCCCTCTCGAGTTGGTCTGTCTCCCCAAATTGGTGCTTCATTTGCAAGGAAGATGTGGAATCACGAAGCCTTCTCTTTCTCAAATGCTATTTTTGCTGAAAGTTTCTTGAACTATATTTTCTTCTTCCTTTCAAATGGTTGGTGCCTCCCCCTCTTGATGTCAACACCCTCCTCTCCAAAAGAAAGAGGAAGACCCATTGGTTGCAGTTTGTTTGTTAGAGCCTTCTTTCTGTTACTATGGCTTAAAAGGAAGATTTAAATCTTCAAAAAAACAAAGAAAATTCCTCATGTTTTCTGGATTCTCTTACTTTTGTGACTCTTAGAATAAATTTTACAATCCTTTTTAACTCTTACAACTTGAGTATTCTTTGTGCTATTAGGAAGAACTTTTCTTAATCTTCCTTGGCTTGAAAGCTTGGGTTCCCCCCTCTTTTTGTAGTTTCTATTTTTTTTCCAATGAATCTGGTTTCTTCTAGAAAAATGGAGTTCACTATACAGTATGATATTATGTTGACAATCTTACTAATTTTAGTTTATTGATCTTCGATTATCCTGTAGGTTGGCATTGAAGAGATGGAAATTGGTAAATTGTTACTTAAATATCCATGGATTATGTCAAAGTGTATCCAAGACAGCCTTAAGCAAGTTGTTTCTTTCTTCGAATTGGAGAAGGTACACCTTCTGTCTGGTCGTTTTACCTTGCTTGTACTAATTAGATTAAGTAGCATTATAGCATGTTTTAAGACCCTTTCTCTCTCTCTCAAAAGATTTTGATGGATAACCATGCTCATGACTGCTATTAGTTAGTATTTTGAATTATTATGAATTTATTGAAGCTCAGTGCCAACCATTTCTAAATCTCATATTTGTATTGAAATAATGACAAGTATCTTTTGAAAGTTGAGTGAAAATAAGAAAATTGAAAACTACCAAATAGCCATCCCTTGAACACCGCTGAAGTTGGGAGGTTAAACCCATATAATCCTATGTTTTCAGTTTTTAAAATTTAGAATCTAAAAATATTGAAAACATAAACATACAAATGTTACTTTTAAAGTTTCCACTTTATATGTCCCAAAATTCATAAGTCAAAATCTTGAGAGTATTATTGGTGTTAGTTGATAGCTGTGAGTGTTCTAGGCTAAACCCTTCTCTTTTCTAGTTTCTAGTTTTTGTAACCATCAGGTTTCTTATTAAAAAAAATAAAAAAAATAAGAAATTGAAGTTAGATTGCATACCAAACATGCTCTTAGTTTCTTACCCAAGAAAAAAAAAAAGATGGTAAATGAGGTAGCACATAGGACGCTTTTTATTTTATTTTTTCCAATTAACATGGTTTTGTTGTAGGCATCCTTTAAGCTGTTAGAAATCCTAGTATGTGTTAATATGACACGTGTGCCTTAATTGGTATATGTTTAAAATATTGTTTACTAGATATTTCATGACAGGTGCCAAATGCAAGCATTACCAATGCAATCAGAAGTTGGCCCCTGATTTTAGGAAGCTCGACTAGTAAATTGAAATTAATGGTGGACAGGTTTGGTGAGCTAGGTGTTCGAAGTAAGAAGTTGGGTCAGGTGATTGCCACAAGCCCTCAGACATTACTTCGGAAACCTCGAGAATTTCTTCAAGTTAGTACCCACTGTCATTTACCATTCTCTGTTGTTTCCCTGCATTGCAATCAATGACAAGATAATTTATGTATACGGTTATTATAGATGATTTGTTCAATTATAATGCTTCAAAGCTTATTATTAATGATTTTGCCGGGCCTATTTAAAAAAGTAGGTTTTCTTTTTTTTT